AATCTGAGATCTGAAAGTCAGCCACTGCCTGGCTATGTTACCTTGGGCCAGTCATTGCCCTTCTCTCTGTATTTTTCTCTCTCTGCCTTCATCTCCACACTAGAAACTGAGCTGACAATCTCTGTCCACCACACCTGGAACTCCAGGACACTCTCAAATCTATGTATTTCATTTAGTCTCTTATTCTGTAGGGTTTCCTGAAAGGTAGCAGAGAGAATGAAGAGACAAGTCCATCTGTGGGCTCCCAGTGGCAGAGGGTGAGCCAGGGCAGCATCATGGAGGATGTCAGGATTACCCAACCCTGAGGACTAGTAGTATAGCAGAGAGGAAGGGAAGTCCCACAGGTGCTCTGATAAAATGGGTAGGGCTTGCCCAGGAAGGCCCATGTATTTAGAGGCACAGAGAAGGAAGCCTCCACAGGTATCCTATACAGGCCCAAGGAGGCAAACAGGAAGTCCCTGGGCCCCAGGTACCAGTGTGACTGTCTGCACAGTAGGGTGCTTGGCTTTGCTTACTGGTTGTTTGTCTCTACCAGCTATTCGGTATATTTCTCACTTTCTCTGGCCATGTGTCTTTCCAACTGTTTCTCAGCCTATGCTTCTCTCCAGGTGATTCATCCTCCTCAGCCCCCACTCTCAAGAGGAAAGGCAGGCAGGACCTGTCAGGATGTGCAGAGCAGGATAGCTAAGCAGCCCAATTGGGCCACAAGGAGAGGAGAACCTCCTCTGTCCAGGCCTGGCCCTGTCTGCTCAGGTGGGGAAGGACACTGACTCCTAGAGCAAGGTACTGGGTGGGGGACCCACTGGGCATAGGGACCATGTTCCCTCAGGCTGGGAAGGGCCTTTGGCTGGAGTGTCCTGGGGCCACTCTTGCTAAACTACAGCCAGAGGGGACTCAGGGGTCTAGGTAAGCTGCTGTTAGCTAGTCCTTCCTTCCTAGACTGGGAGACCTAAATCTCCTGTGACTTTCTCTGGCTGTTTGACCTTTTGAAGAAAGGGGTGGGGCTGGGAAGATGGCTCAGTGGTAGAGTGCTTGCCTTGCATGCCTGAGGCCCTGGGTTCGATTCCTCAGCACCACATAAGCAGGAAAAAAAGCCAGAAGTGGCGCTGTGGCTCAAGTGGTAGAGCGCTAGCCTTGAGCTGAAGAGCTGAGGGACAGACATTGCCCAGGCCCAGAGTTCAGGCCCCACGACCGACCAAAAAAAAAAAAAGAAAAAAGAAAGGTGTGGCTGTCTCTCTTCAGGTTTTGGTTTTTGGTTGTTGCCCTTTATGACTGTATTAGGGTTTGAACTCAGGACCTGGGTGCTGTCCTTGAGGGTTTTTTTTTTTTCTGAAGTCTGGCACTTTAGCCACAGCTCCAGGTTGGCCTTTTGCTGGTTAATTGGAGATAAGAGTTTCACTGCTAGGGCTGGCTTGGAACTACAATCCTCAGATCTCAGCCTCGGAAAAGCTAAGATTACAGGCTTGAACCACTGACACCTGGCATTTTTTTAATGTTTAAATTGTTGTACAAAAGGGCTTCAATATAATATATAAATTATGAGTATGATGTGTCTTGATCAATATCACCCCTTCTATTGTCTGAAGCTGTATGTTTTTGAAGCAGAGAGAGCAGGTGGCTTTGTGATTGTGTGCATCCCTGGGCTAAGAGCTGGGATGCTATGGACATGTTGTGTTGTGAATATGACACAATTAATTATGCATGTGTTTGATTCTGAGTATGTGGTGCTGTGTGACTTTATGCTGTTTTGCTGTTGTGCGAGATTATGTTTAGCCTGTTGTAATGGACTTTGCATGGCAGTAGTCTTTGTGTATACCCATATATGACACCACGTGACCCTGCAATTTGAAATATAGTATAAATGACACTAGACTTTGTGACTCAGTGACATCATATTTGAGGGTTGTATAAGTAAATGTATGGGGAAAAAAAGCCAGGCACTGGTGGTTTGTCTGTAATCGTAGTTACTCAGGAGGCTGAGATCTGAGAATACACTTCAAAGCCAGCCTGGACAGGAAAGTCCATGGGACTCTTGTCAGAAAGTCCATGGAACTCACCAAAAAATGGGAAGTGGTGCTGTGGCTTAAAGTGGTAGAGCATTAGCCTTGAGCAAAAGATCTGAGAGACAGCACCCAGACCCAGAGTTCAGGCCCCATGACTACCACCAACAATAACCTATATATATTTTTTTGTCAGTTGTGAGGCCTGAACTCTGGGCCTGGGCACTGTCCCTCAGCTCTTCAGCTCAAGTTTAGCACTCTACTACTTGAGCCACAGTGCCACTTCTGGCTTTTTGTGCTTATGTGGTGCTGAGGAATTGAACCCAGGGCCTCATGTATGCAAGGCAAGCACTCTACCACTGAGCCATCTGCCCAGCCCTTATTTTTCATTTTTATTTTTTGCTGGTCCTGGGGCTTGAACTCTGGGCCTGGGCACTATTCCTGGGCTTCTTTTGCTCGAAGCTACTGCTCTCCACCACTTGAGCCACAGCACCATTTCCCACTTTGGCTGAGTAGTTTACTGGAGATAGAGTCTCACAGACTTTCTTGCCCCAGCTGGGTACGAATGGCAATTCTCAGATCTCAGCCTCCTGAGTAGCTAGGATTATAGGTGTGAGCCACCAGCACCTGGCTTACTTATTTTATCTTATACAGGTACTGGGGCTTAAACTCAGGGCCTTTAATATTCACTTGGCTTTCTTGCTTAAGATTGCCAGTTTACCACTTGAACCACAGTTCCACTTCTGGCTTTTTGGTGTTTAATTGGAGATAAAAGTCTCTCAAGCTTTTGTGTTCTGACTGGCTTCAAACCAGGATCCTCAGCTCTCAGCTTCCTGAGTAGCTAAGATTACAGGCATGATCCATCAGAACCTGGCTTGCTTATGTTTTGAAAACATTCTGGGGGGGCTGGGAAGGTGGCTCAGTGGTAGAGCACTTGCCTTGCATGCCTGAGGCCCTGGGTTCGATTCCTCAGCACCACATAAGCAAAAAGGAAAAAAGCCGGAAGTAGCACTGTGGCTCAAGTGGTA